TGACGGGCTGCTGACGCCCAGGGAGTCTGCCAGGTTCGTCGCGGAGAACAGCCGGGACGTGCGCGTGGACGGCGGGGGCGTGCGCAGGGTGGCCGAGCTGCTGCTGGCCGCGGCCTCGGGGGCGGCGCTGCGGGCGGCCGCGTGGAAGGCCCGTCACGAGCTGCACCCCAGGGCGGCCGACGAGGCGGCGGTCAACTGGGTGTTCGTGACAGACACGCTCAACTTCTCCTTCTGGTCGGAGCGGGACGAGCACGGCTGTGCGGTGGGGTACGGGGGCGGCACGTACACCGGGTACTGGGCCCTGTGCGCCGCGCTCAACAGAGCCCTCGACGAAGGTGGGTGCTCCGGGGACCCGCCAGCCTCTGGGGTTCCGGGTCTCCCTGGACGGAGGACACCAGGAAGGAGGTGTCGGCAAGGCGGGCCCGAAATGTCTGTCGCCAGTCCCTTTGCTTAAAAAATAAGTATGAGAAGAGGTGTATTCGGAGGAACGATCCTAAGTTACCACGATCACAGCATAAGCATAAAAGTCAGTTTTCCTCTTTCCTGTTTAATTTTTAAAATTTTATCTTATGTGCGAAGAGATAGTATGTTTTCTTTCGTTGGGCAGATAACCTTGGATTATCATTCAAGGAAGATCACTTGGTCCCACTTGATGAAGCCTGTGTCCGTCGTGTACTGACGGGGACACTGGCGACACCCGCTGAGGCCGGTTTGAGCGGATGCTGCAAGAGCCAAAGCCCTGGCCGAGTCTTCGCGGGTGGCCCAAGTGAGACTGCTGGTGACCCGTCTTACCTTCAGGAGGGCAATGAGGCAAAAAAAAAAAAGAAAAGTCGGTTTTCTAAAGAATGCCACTTTACTCCCGAAGAACAAAGGGACAGATACCGTAAAACACTTTACACAGTCAAATTACATCTGATGGAACAGTGCAATACTTAGAAATGGGTGAATAAGTACGTGAATAAATACAGACGAGCAATTGATTTTTTTAAAATTTTGCTTCCGAGTTTTTGTTATTCAGGCACTTTTGATGCATTCTTATACCACGCATTTGGTTTCATAGTAAGTGCATGTTGTAAAAAACATGGAACAACATTTATAATGAATATAAAAGTATGACATTGTTTCTCAGAATTTTCTTTTCTCCCCAAAGGGATACCAATAACTAGTGCCCGGTACTATGCCACAGTGACCCTGGATCAGGTTCGGCACATACTCCGTTCTGACACAGACGTTTCCATGCCTTTGATAGAAGAGAGGCATCGCATTCTCAATGAAACCGGGAAAATTCTGTTGGAGAAGTTTGGGGGCTCTTTTCTTAATTGTGTCCGAAAAAGTGAAAAAAGTGCACAGAAGTTAATGCACCTGGTCGTGGAAAGTTTTCCTTCTTACCGAGATGTGACTCAGTTTGAGGTGAGTTGCTTCTGTTAGGGATTTTCTAAGTCCTATTATTCCTCTCAGAGCTAGCTCTTTTACTTCCAGAACTCGTTTTGAGAATAGAAACTTAAATTTTGAAGTTCATTCCCTGTGGAAGAGAAACAGTGACAAAATTTAGAGTTTCAAAGCCGTTACTTAATGTTTTCTAATCAATGTATTTCCTTTATTCTTTACTTTTTTACTTGTCCTTTTTTCTTTGTCCTTTAAAAATGTTTCAAACCTAAAAAACACTGAACCCTTCCTATAATGTCACTTGGGGATAATGAGGTCTCTTTAGTACTAGAAAAATTTACTTAATTGGATGAAAGAATGTATACTCACGGCCAGCCCCGTGGCGCACTCGGGAGAGTGCGGCGCTGGGAGTGCGGTAGCGCTCCCGCCGCGGGTTCAGATCCTATATAGGGATGGCCGGTGCGCTCAGTGGCTGAGCGCGGTGCGGCCAGTCTCAAAAAGGACACACACACACACACACACACACACAAAAAAGAATGTATACTCACTAAATTCTTTTTTTTTTTTTGGTCTTTTTTTTGGGATCTGCCGCACGCTGCTCAGCCACTGAGCGCACAAAAAAAAAAGAATGTATACTCACTAAATTCTTTTTTTTTTTTTTGGTCTTTTTTTTGGGATCTGCCGCACGCTGCTCAGCCACTGAGCGCACAGGCCATCCCTATATAGGATCCGAACCCGGGGCGGGAGACTCTCCCGAGTGCGCCACGGGCTTGGCCCAAATATACTCACTAAATTCTAATAAAAAGTATTTCTTGCAAAGTTCAATGTATATATACTATGTGTTTTTGTTTCTATATGCAGTATAATTCAACAATATTATTTGCCTTATGATATAAAAAAAAATAGATGTCCTTTTAAAGTAGTGACTATTTTGAGGGCCAGCCCGTGGCTCACTCGGGAGAGTGTGGTGCTGATAACACCAAGGCTACAGGTTCGGATCCCTATATGGGGATGGCTGGTTTGCTCTCTTGGGAGAGTGTGGTGCTGACAACACCAAGTCAAGGGTTAAGATCTCCTTACCAGTCATGTTTTAAAAATAAATAAATAAATAATAAAATAGTGAATATTTTGTTATACCCTCCCACTGTGTACCTGGATTTTGTTTTTGTAAAATTCTTTTGGAATCCTTTGTCACTGTATATTTTAACTGTGACATAGAAGTGGAAGCAAGTTCAGAGGAATCCCATAATATAAATCTATTGAATAAGTTAATGAATACTTATGTCAAGTTAAAATTTTGTTTTATTTTATTTATTTGGGGGCTGGCAGTACTGGAATCTGAACCCTTGACCTTGGTATTATCAGCATTGTGCTCCAACCAAGTGAGCTAACCAGCCAGCCCTCAAATTAAAATTTTAAAGCTATCCTTTTGTAATCATAATTCAATAACAGAAAAAAATTACCAATAATATTGTTTAAATCGGGTGGGGGGGTGCTGGCCAGTATCAGGATCAAACCCTTGACCTTGGGTTATCAGCACCAGACTCTAACCAGTGTTGAGATTTTTCTTTGTCTTCAAAGTATGTCCTGTCAGCCTTGTTTTTCAGGAAATTATGGATCAAGTTCCTTGTTTCATCATAAGCAATCTAAATATATTAGTATAAAAGAAATTTAACCTGCCATTTATGTGGCTAATAATTTATGTATTCCAGAATCAAGATGGTTTTAATAGAGGAATGGCTGAGATTAAATTTAATATGACTTCAAAATGGATGAATTCAGGACAACATGTAGTTTGTTTGCTTTCAGTTTTTTCTGGATGAAAGGAGTTTTTGTTTTTTTGCAGATTATAATATAATTGAGCAAACATTTGCTAGTTTCTGTTTCATTTACAGCACAGTGCTTTTGATTTGCTTTGCTGAAAAATTCAATTTTTAAAATATATATCAGGATATAGATTAATTTTACAGCTGATACATTTTAAAATGAAAATTGGTACAGGAGCCATTTCTCATGAATGCTCATTTCTAAAATACTTTCTTATAGAAAAATTCCCAAAATGTAACAAAAAACACATAAGAATTTTAACACTTTCTTAAAGGAGTATTATTATTTTTTCATTTATTTTTTCTATAAATCGTTAGTTACTCAAAAGCACTATTTTTTCTTTTTTTTTTTTTAAAGATGACCAGTAAGGGGGTCTTAACCCTTGGCTTGGTGTTGTCAGCAAGACCAGTGAGCGAACTGGCCATCCCTATATGGGATCCAAACCCATGGCCTTGGTGTTATCAGCACCACACTCTCCCGAGTGAGCCACAGGCCGGACCCTCATAAACACTCTATTTCTACCCCTCTGATTCCTAACATAATACTGAGCACATGATAGGTGCTCACTTAATGCTTTGAATAGTCATTTAACAGTTATCTTTGCATATTCATTTAACAGATACACAATTAAAGCACATTGTACAGTTAACTGTTTCTCCAAATGTGAGGGAATTCTAATTAACCTTGGGCACTGTTTTTGAAATTCAGAAAGTGTTAAAATTGAATTTTTTAATTCATATTTCAAAATTTTCTAACTATAAAAGTAAAATACCTTAATTATAGAATTTTGAAAGCACAGAGAAGCAATCCCTAGTCTACCAGCAATAGGCAACCAGTGGTCATAACTGGGTATTTTTTTTTTAAAGATGACTGGTAAGGAGATCTTAACCCTTGGCTTGGTGTTGTCAGCACCACACTGGCCACCCCTATATGGGATCTGAACCCGTGGCCTTGGTGTTATCAGCACCACACTCTCCTGAGTGAGCCACAGGCCGGCCCTATATCTGGGTATTTTTCTATATGAATGTATATACATGGGAATTTGGGACGGGGGAGGAATAGGATCATGCTGTATAGGTTATTTTGAAATTTAACATATTGTAAACATCTTTCTCTGTCAGTAAAAATCTTTCACAGGACAATTTTTTTTTTTCCTTTTTGTCTTTTTTACTGGCCGGTAACGGGATCGCAACCCTCGGTGTCGCGCCCGTACCAGGGACTGGCAACGGGATCTCAACCCTCAGTGTTGCGCCCACGCCATGCTCAGCCAGTGAGCAGGAACCAGTCACCACATGGGATCCGAACCCTCGGTAGGAGTGCCACCGCGCTCCCAAGCGGCGCACTCTCCAGTGCGCCACGGGGCCGGCCCAGGACAATTTTTTTTTTTTTTTACAGCATAATGTTTAATGGCTTCACAGTATTCTGCTGTATGGATATACAGTCCTACAATTATTTGCCCAAACTATTTTACCATAATATTTGTGTTAATACACAGTTTTATTTAATAAATTGAGTTTTATGTTTTATTGTTTTCAGTTTTATGCAATTATAAATAATACTGCACAAAAGTTTAACTAAATCTTTACAGATTTCCGTAATTATTTTCTTGGGATAGTTTCAGTAGTGAAATTGCTGAGTCAGAGCATGGATAGGATTTTCAGCCTTCTAATACATAAAAATGCTAACTGTTCTCCAGGAAGGTGATAATAAAGCCCCAAACTTCTATAACTTTGTCATATGTTTTTAATCTTTAACAATTTGCATAAAAATAGTCATAATTGTTTTTTAATGTATACTTATTTACTGAGATTATCATTCATTTTTAAACATTATAAACAGATTAATAAAGTTTAAAAATTTCAGACAGATTTAGATCAGTGATTTCCCCACCTGACTGTGCCCCAGAATCTCTTGGGAAACCTAAAATTCAGATGCTTTTCCAAATCGCCACCCTCAAAGACTCTGATCAGCAGACAAGAGAGCTATTTTCTGAAGCTCTTCAAGTGACTCTGATTTAAGAGTGTGCAGTAACTCTAAGTCCTAATTAATAATTTGGCTTCTCTAGTCTATCACTTTTATTCTGACATACTGATAAATATACATGAAAAACATGAGCCTTTTGATATTTCAACAGATAATTTATGTTACTCTTAAACATTTGTAACCTTGACCTTTCTATCTGTTCGTGATAAATTTATTGAAGGTTTTTTTTTTTTTTCCACGTCAGACGGGTAATGTGCCAATGTAGTAACAAGGTTTGAGAGAGGCACATCTCACACAATAGTGCGAAAACCCAGTCATCAAGCTTATGAACCACAAAAGGATCTATTGAAGAATTTGTTCAAGAAAATTAACTCAAGGTTATAGAGTTTTTCATTGACAATCATTTTATAAAGGTACTATTATGACAATATTTTATTCACAAAGGAATATTATGGAACACATAGGGAATTGTTATTTGGGGGACTTACTGGTTTTTCAGTGATATCAGTCAATATTTTAGAGACTGAGAATTTGATTCATTTGATTACTAAAACCATAATCAGCTTACTAAAATAGATTTATAGATTATTTGAATTTATTTTTAGATTTCTCACTTGAATCTTACTTTTTGTTCTTTTAAATTTTGAGTGGTATTCTGTATTGTGATCTAATCTTGGTGATATACTAGTCTGCTACCATGGAAACAGTGGTCATGATGTGACAATTTATGTTTTCTTAGATGCTAGCACTGATTTTGTTACATAAATTTGATTACTAGTTTTTTACATTTTGCTCTATGAATCTTAAAAACAGCACATAATGTCTTCTATCTATTCTAGTAAATTTGATGGTGTAATAGTTGTGTTTTATATACAGTTTTATAAATTGAGTTTTATGTCTTGTTTTATATACTAGACTTGAACTAGAAACCTAGTTAACATATATAAATACAGTTTAGGTAGAGGAACAATTGCCAGGTTGTCATATTTGGGGAGGTTTAGGAATATAGGTTCATAGCATAATGTAGGAATGTTTCTGAATGGTGGTTTGTTCCCCCAGCCCCTCAATATAATTTACAAACTTTATACCATGTCAAAAAATGAGCATGTGTGTTTGCCCTGGAAAACAAGGTCCTGAATTTTTTAATGGTGTCTTTAGAAATTTTAATTTATTTAGTGAAAGTATATCTGGATCAAATGCAATAGATATAAGGTTAAGCATTATTAGGTTATTTCTTTTTTTTTGTCTTTTTCGTGACCGGTAAGGGGATCGCAACCCTTGGCTTGGTGTCGTCCGCACCGCGCTCAGCCAGTGAGCCCACCGGCCAGTCCTATATAGGATCCGAACCCGCGGCGGAGCGTCGCTGTGCTCCCAGCACCGCACTCTCCCGAGTGTGCCATGGGGTGGCCCTTATTAGGTTATTTCTCATTATGACTATATCATTTGAGTTTTCTAAGTAAATAAAAGAATCTATATTGTCATTTTATGGAATTTTTATTTTACTTTTTATTTATTTCTTTATTTTGGCAGCTGGTTTGGGGGATCCAAGCCCTTGACCTTGGTATTTTTTTTTTCCTTTTTGTCTTTTTTACTGACCGGTAACGGGATCGCAACCCTCAGTGTTGCGCCCGTACCGGGGACCGGCAACGGGATCGCAACCCTCGGTGTTGCGCCCGCACCGTGCTCAGCCAGTGAGCGGGAACCGGTCTCCACATGGGATCCGAACCCTCGGCGGGAGCGCTGCCGCGCTCCCAAGTGGCGCACTCTCCAGTGCGCCATCAGGCCGGCCCTTGACCTTGGTATTTAAACACCACACTCTAACAAAATCTTATGGAATTTTTGTATGGAGCCTCTCCTTAAAAAATTTAATTTCAGGGCCGGCCTGTGGCTCACTCAGGAGAGTGCGGTGCTGGTAACACCAAGGCCACAGGTTCGGATCCTATATATGGATGGCCGGTTCGCTCACTGGCTGACCGTGGTGCTAACACCACCAAGCCAAGGGTTAAGATCCGCTTACCGGTCATCTTTAAAAAAAAAAAATTTTTTTTAAATTTCACTTTTAATTTAATTATTTATGTCATTAACTATTTAAAATATTTCCCAGGTTGGTCAGGATAGATTTTGGGAGTCAGTAGTTGATTTATTCCCATTTAGTAGACAAACAGTTATAAAACATGATTTGAGGTTATTTCCATTGGTATTAGAATTAAGAGTAGATTGTAATTATCTATGTTTTTCCATAGTCTATACTAATCTGCGTTTAACAGAGAATTCTTGAATTAAATCTAACGCACTATCTTACATGCTTGGTTAAATTTGTTTCTTCCATGTGTAAATATAATCAGCTAATTTATTTTATTATATGGACTTACATATTGACTTTGACCATTTCCAAAAATGGTAGAAAAATAGAAAGTCTATTGTAAATTCTGGCTGTTGATCAATTACATTTTTATCTCTAGAATATGTTAATCATATTATCTGAAAGGAAACAGTTCAGAAGTGAATGTTGTGATTCTTTTCAGACATGAGTGTAGGGATGATTAGTTTCTTCTTTATTTTTAAATTTTTATTATTTTATTTATTTATTTTTGTGGAACGCTTCACCAATTTGTATGTCATCCTTATATGGGGGCTATGCTATTCTCTGTATTGTTGCCATTGTAGTACATGTGTGTCGAAGTGAGCACTGTTTTCTTCTTTATATTCTTCTATACTTTATACAATTGACATGAACATTGTTGCAATCAAAAAAACATATTTTTTAATTTAAGAAACTTTCAAAAGGAATACTATCTAGACATTAAAAACAATAAGCTGTTGGATTACAGTGACACAAAAATATGTATATGAAGTAATGCCGTTGAAAAAGAATACTAAATAGTACCAGGAGGGCTGGTTAGTTCAGTTGGTTAGAATGTGGTGTTTACAGCACCAGAGTCAAGGGTTCAGATCCACATACTGGCCAGCCACAGAAGAATATATATATAGTACCAGGATTACGTAAATTGTTTTTTATGTGCCTTCAAAAAAATAGGAAGTAAATTTGGAGTGATAGAAATCACTTTTGTTTTCTGTAAAAGGTCTATAAATTCTTACCAGAAGAGTAAGATTTTTCTGCCCTTGAAAAAATGTTTTCAACATGTGCCTTTTTAAAATAGCATATATAAGGCTTTCAGATACCGAATTGACGTTTATATTCTCTTTATTCATCAGGGGAAAAGAATTTCTTTTTATAAACGAGCCCAAATCCTTGTGGCAGATACATGGAGCGTATTAGAAGGAAAAGGGGATGGTTGCTTTAAGGACATCTCCAGTATCACCATGTTTGCTGACTATAGATTACCTCAGGTGCTTGTTTACCTTGGAGCCCTGAAATACTCTGACGAACTACTGAAGAAGCTTCTCAAAGGTTTGCAACCTTAAGTCATTCTTTGTTATACTGTGAATTGTTGAGTCACTGTCACAAAAGGTCTCCTTTGCTTAAAAAAAAAAAGTACTACTTACTGTTAAAAGTATATGTAAAGAAAAATGCAAGGACAATGAAAATATTGAGAAAATGGCTTTTCTTGTTTACACTGCAGAATATGGATATTGTGCAAATTGTGCTATTTAGATATTACAAATTTTAGAACCTAATAAAATGAAACCTAAATTTATATTCCATGAAGGTATAAAACACTGACAGTTCATCAGGTGTAGCGTTTGAAGAGTATAATTAAGCTGAAGAGAACACTACATTGTGTGTAAAGGGTGGACTGAGAGAATATGTACTTCATTTTGAGGCAGGAGGCTCCAAGGTTTGCCACTGGGTTATCTTTCACAAGTTACTCTCTTCTCTAGGCTTATTTATCCACCATTAGCAGATATGATTATTCATATCAAAACTAGGAGCATTATAATAACTATAGGTAAATAGGGTTGAGAAGTTTGGGTTAAAATTACCTTTTTCTGAAAACATTTTCTTTTCTTTTTTTTTTTTTAAAGATGACCAGTAAGGGGATCTTAACCCTTGACTTGGTGTTGTCAGCACCATGCTCTCCCAAGTGAGCTCACCGGCCATCCCTATATAGGGATCTGAACCCGTGGCCTTGGTGTTGTCAGCACCGCACTCTCCCAAGTAAGCCACGGGCTGGCCCTTGAAAGCATTTTCTATATAAGAAAAATAATTATATAATTTTGACATTAATTTCTCTCTTTTGGGTACAGGGTTTTCTGCTACTCTTTATGCATTTTCAAAAGAAAGCAGTTTTTATGATTGAATAATTTTCTCTTGTGAAATAGATTTAAATCTCTCCAAATCAAAATAACACAGAATATAAAAGTACCATTATTTTTATGGTTGGTTCTACCAGGTTTTTAATGCTTCCTTGGATAGTCCATTTTGTCCTCTGTTTCCTTATTTGAAAAATAGCATGCTATTATATGTAATAATGCTCATGTCCTGGGTCATTAGTTGTAGGATATCTTTATTTATTTACTTATTTATTTATTTGGGGGGGGAAATCTTACATTTATTTGCTATTAAACCACTATTATGATCACAGGGAGAATTTTTTTTTTTTATTATAAATTTTTTTTTTTATTATTATTTTTATTTTGTCAATATACAATGTAGTTGATTAT